TGTGGAATGAAGCTGTTGAAGCTGTTGATCAGTCTGGAGGTTCTTCCTTCAGTGCTCTGGAAACGTTTGCCTGATGGCAGCAGTTCAAACAGTTTATGGAGAGGGTGTGATGAGTCCCTGACAATGTTCCTCCAGCAGCTCTGGAAAAGGTCAAAGCTAGCTGTTTGTCTGTCCACCCGGAACAATGTCCATGGTTCTCGCCAGCATTATAACAGAGTAATGGTCCGTTACGCTGCTGCCTGAATGTAGCAGAAAAACATTTAACAAGAAGCGCCGATGCTTGCCACTAGTTTCTCTACCATCGTCTTCGCGACTACCGCTGCTAGTCGCTAGCGCATTCACCGCTAGCCGTTAGCAGAATTCGCTAAGACACCCCTGTTTTGACACGCTGTCAAAAAATCCTGGCGAAGACTCTGAATGTCATCTCCTCCAACTGTCTGGGATGCCGCCACAGAGCCATGCCTCTGCAAAAGCAAACACTCAGCAGTCCCTCCACTCTCTGCGGGCTTCTCTCAGCAAACGTAGCTCGCACAGCATGTTGTTGAGGGAGCAGATGTTGGAGAGTAGGAGCGACGGTACTGCTGGTCTGGAGGGGATAGCCTTTAGCCTAGCATGGATCCCAGCTCTCTTCCCCCTCCTTTGTTTACGTTCGTACCTTTTGCACTTCCTTCTCTCTCGGGAAACTGCCAGCGTAGTCTCCGATCGGACTTCGTGTTGGTGTAGTATGTCCAAATCACAACCGAGTGCTGCAATTTTAGCGACGTTCATTGCCCTGATGTTCAGCAAAACTTTCACTCTCGGGGCCGCTGCTTTAGCTCACTTGGCTGAGCTGGCAACCCATGTACCCATGTACAGGAGCTATAGTCCCTGATGCAGCGGCCATGGGTTCGTATTCTGCTCATGGCCCTTTGCTGCAAGTCCTTCCCCTATTCTGTCCTCCTCCACTTTCCTGTCTCTCTTGACTGTCCTATCTTATAAAGACAAAAAGGCCCCCCCAAAAAAATTTAAAAACATCTTTCACTCTCGCTGTCTCCCGAAGTGGCTGCTGCGTCTATGTCATCTCTATGGAAACGAAGGCGCTAGTGTTAAACAATCATCGGTTTTTCACATCGACTGAATTTGCTCATCAGAATGATACCGATATGTGGGAAGGAACATTAATATCGGCTGATAGCAATGTGGTCACCAAAATATCGTGCAACCCTACCATGCACTCATCCGTTCCTGTGTCAGGAACCATCGTCAGACCTCCAGGGACCTTAAAAATGAGTCAGCAATGTTGAGAAATGTGACTTGTTCGGAAAGGACAGTTCAAAACTGAATTCTTGAAGGTGGCCTGAAGTCACACAGGGCACGGAAGAAGCCTTTCATCAACCAAAAGCAGAGGAAAGCCCAGTTACTCTTTGCTGGGTTCACAAGGATTGGACTGTTGATGATTGGGCTAAGGTTCGCTTCAGTGATGAATCCAATTTTCAGTTGATGCCCACTCCAGCCAACTTACTGGTTAGGAGGAAGCCTGGAGAAGCCTACAAACCAGACTGTCTTGCCCCTGCAGTAAAACATGAGGATGGATCAGTGACAATCTAGGGTTGTTTCAGTATGTGTGGAACAGGGCAAATGCAATTGTGTGAAGGGGGAATGAATCAGGTCATGTACAGTCCTAGTCTTGAAAACAGTCTTCTTCCATCAGCTGGAAAACTCTTTCATGGCTCAAATGACTGGATTTTCAACAAGACAATGTCCCTTGCCACACGTCAGTTAAAGCCTGGATGGAGAACCAGAACATTTAAACAATGCCTTGGCCTGCTCAGTCACCAGATCTAGATCCAACTGAAAACCTGTGGAAAATCATAAACGCAAAATTGAGAACGACAAGCCTAAAAACAAAGCAATTTGTGCAACAGGAATGGGCTGCTTTGACAGCAGAACAATGTCAGAAGCTGGTGGAGAGCATACCAAGATGCATGGCTGGTTATGCAATCAAGTACTAACTCCTGTGTGTATCATGTGACTAAAACAGACAGAAAGGAAAACATGGAATGCCTAAAAGCACTGTTTTTGGGATTACGATGCCATAGCTATTGATGTCAGAACTTTTGATTTTGGTTATTATCAAGAAAACCATCAAAAATGGCTAGATATCAGCTCTTAAATTAAACTCTTATGAGTTATTTTTGTTATTATATTTGTCCAAGCAAATGTACCTTTAGTTGTACCAGGCAATTTTTTCAATTGACTGTATTTGAGTTCAGGTCTCTGTGCCTGATAAAAAACATTGTATAAGCAGATTCTGAGAAACTGTCCTCTCTCCGTATCCAGAGTCTGTGACTGCAAGATAAAACAGGGAGACCTCACCCAGTCAACCACTCACATTCAGAGAGACAGAAGATCAAGCAAAGAGACAGTTTATGAACTGACTAGCGTCTCAGCTCCGAGCATAAATAACTTTAAATATTTAAATATCTAAATGTTGGACATGGTCATCTCCTGTATCTGTTAGAATCAAATGGCAGATGGGTGGAACTTTAACCACAGTTTAACTTTTTGTGCATTTAATTATCTTGACAGGCATGCTTGAAAAAGCCTGACTACATTAACTATGAGCTGATGTATTTATTACATAGGCTGATCTAAATCGACTGAAGTTCTGCTTTGTTAGACCCGATTCTTTAGTTTCAAGCCCAAGAACAGGCCAGAGAAATCTTCAGTTCTCAGATGTAGAATTTATTTCAGTCACAGGTAAAGTTTTGAAGCGCTGGATTCAGAGGGACAGAGAGGAATCTCATGTCCAGCTGAACTGAGTTTTTTTTTCGGTTCCAGGTTACAGATATCTTCTTGGGCTGGGCCTGCCCCGAACATAGATAACATTTGTACGTTACCGAGTTTAATTGGCCAGTTACCAATGGCGTGGACAGGCATGCCTCTTCTGCGCTCTGTCCACGTCCTTGATATTTGGTAAGCAACATGTGTGGATGTTGTTGGTATGGCGCGTAGCTAAAGTAACAATCGTATCTGACAAAAAAGAGGAGCTATCTCCAAGTGTGTGAACCGGTTCTCACCGGCCATATTGTCTTCAAGGACGTACACTGTGCTGTGTAGGAAAATACGAAACAGAATCATAGGCTCAGTGCAAAATACAGATTCAGAATACATGATAGCTCGAGACATACTTAATTATAACAGCTTTTTGTTTTTTTGTTTTACAACAAGAAACACTTTCCTTGGTTACCATTGGGAAGTTACTCCTGAAGAATATTGCAGAGAGAGAGGCAGTGTTACATAGATTCACTTTCGCAACTCTCAAGAGCTCCAAGATACCAAAGTCATTAAAAACAAAAGGCTTTTAAATCTGTAAATAACGGTTAAGAGTAAAGAAATTATTTATAGTAAGTCCATTAAGAAGACCAGCTTTTGAGTTGCAAGGTTGCCGTACATTAAAACCTTACTAAAACATTTTAAAACATATTTCTATGATAATCAATCTTTGTAAATGCATCCATTTGGTAAAAACACAAATCCCATTATGTACAGAGAGTAACTGGTCAGTCATTAGCAGGGGTCTCCATAATGAACAGCCTCTGGCACGTTAGAACAAGGCAGGTAAGGGAAGTCGGCAAGTTGGATCCGTAACTTCGGGACAAGGATTGGCCCAACTAAAAGTGGATGGGATGAAGGAGGATTTTCCAAATCCGGCAGGTAAAATTTCATTTTTTGTCAAGGATGAACTGATCTACAAAGGATCAATAAATTATTTGGCTTCAATAAAGCATATAATTATCGATAAGGAACTCTTCATAAATGATGTTACATCGAAGATGGTGCCCAAATAAGAGGATAAGATTCAACTATTGTCAATGTTCAACAAAATTCAGTCTTTTTACATATTCAAACTTGTAAATAAACTAGGGTTGGAGTGAGAGCAAAGGGTCAACTAGACTGCAGCAGCCCTGAAGCAGGTGTTAACCTGACCTCTGAAGGTCATGAACCATCAGCTTTTTTTCTGGACCAGTGTTAACCAGTTTTTCACTTTGTCATACATCAATCATCTCAAAAACTTCTTTTGTATTTTAGAGCAGGTGTACTCAGTTTTACGTAGATCTACACAGACATAGATAAACATCTGTCAGTATATTTTCACACTGTACAAAACTAGTGTAAATCAATAAAACCGAATCTTGTGCTTTCCTTTACATGTTTTTCTGTTTGTCTCTGTTTCAGACTCTGAGCTGTTGCCTCCCACAGCCATCCATCAATGCACCACAGACACTGAAAGAGATAGTTAGAGACAGAGTGACCGTTTAATTGCCAATTGTCCATCGAAGACCATCCAACCGATGGTTTTTGATGATGAGGACTTGTTGGAGACAACAAATACCCAAACTTTGTTACATAAGGTCATCACTGTTAAAAAGCACAGAACTAGACACAAGCATAGGACTCGGAGCCCATACTGAATTAAACTGTTTGTTCGGTTGTCTGTAAAATGTCCAGTGACTGTTATAACAATATACTGTATATTCACACAGTCTGAGTTTGGACACTCAAGTATAACAAGCAATGTCATAAAATACTAAATAGGTAAAACCACATCAAAAGCAATGACATTAAGCTCATGATGTAATAAAAGAAATATTAGGCGATTACCAAAGTAAGCAGGAACAATTGTTTATTAATCATAAATGTGTTAATAAAATTGTGTGCCAATGGTGGATGCTGATGAGTAAAACCTTTGACCTGCTGATACATATTGAAAAGTGGGGAAAAGGGATCACAGTTCCATGCATATCACAACCAAATTTCATTAAAAAAAAAAAAAAAAAAAATGCAATAGCTTTAGACAAAACTCAAGAGATCACCAAAGTTAGTGGGATTTCAACCAAAAAATAAAAACAACTGTAGAAAATTTCAGTCAGGTGTGAAAAAAGGCAATTTGAAAAATCTGTAAGTTATAAGTTTTTATTTTTAAACTTCTTTCATGACATGTAGATTCACACAAAACACTTTTTTCCATTTTTATTTCACAGCAGTGTAAAAGATGCACTTTAAGGGCTTAAAGCTGTTTGACAATAGTCACACCCTGAAAGCTTAACATTCTACATACAAACCAAAAGGTAACATTGCTCTGGTCTCTTAAAAATATCTGCTAATGATCTAAGTTCAGTTGACTGAAGAACTGATCAAATACACATTTTTAAATTTTGAACTGATGTGCTAATTGTGTGTTAAGTCATAAACTGGCCCTAAATTGCAACATTTAATGCACTGAGGTGATAAGGTAGTTTAGTTGTTAGTTTAGTTCTATAAAAATCAAGAGACTATGCTGTCAAGCCACTGATGGGCTGAATTTATGCCCACAATAACGTGTCAGTAGGGCTTAAACAGATTTTTTATTTTTGTTTTTTTAATATATTTATCTACGGTGGAAGGAAGTCCAACAAAGAGAAGAATGATTTATGTTCTATTTACATGCATCTGCCTTGACATGGCCTCTGGTTGGAAGAAAACAGGTGGAACTGCCTTTCACCACGACTGTGGCATTCCATAACATTGTGGTAATGAAAAGTAAAATCTGCTAGCATAAAAGCGCGACTTGATGGCTGGTGGCTCCCAGTGCTGTACAGTCTGTAGTGGGGCCTGTCAGCCACACCCACAAAATGTTGTATCCACATTTTCTGTCATTGCTGGATTGACCACTTGATCTCAAAGTAAAAAGTGAGGCATTGAATAAATACATTAGCTCTGACAATCTTGGCAGCTGCAGCATAATTTAAAACACAATCAAATGCATAGAAAGAGTTTCAAAAAGTTGAAAAAGGCTTTCATTTTCAAACAAGGCAAAGTTTCAAACACTTAGATTTTTAAAAAGATGCCGATTTCTTTCCCCAGTAAACAGGCCTATATCAAATTTAGCTGGGCTAGATGTGTTTCTGAATTGTTGTATGAAGCAGAAATGATGTCATATTACACAGTTGTCAAAGAAGTCTGTTTTCTTTGAGTACAATAATGCTCACTATAATATTTTTGACTATTTAAATTCCTATGTTTATAGGAATTTTGTATAGTAACACAAATGTAACATTTATTTTTAAATATGAAATTCCAAGTATTCCAAGTTTTAAAATAAGACTCCATTCCAGAAAGATTTTGTTGGTACACATCAATTAATGCTATCAGGAACAATATATGTTCAATTACCAATTATAGAATGGCTAAAGAAAATCGGATGTATACTTCAAATGTTAAAGACAAAATGAGGATTTCTTTCCTTTCATTAGTAATGTGACTTTTCAAGTTGACGCCAATTTTGCTAAAATGAAATAAGTAAAGACTGCATGTAGAGAACGGTACAAGTAGGAATGTTTAACATAGGATGGATAAGTAAATAGGCAAGGGTGGAAGGATGGTGAAGCAGGGTTTATTTGAAGGAGGCGCGAACCTGACGGCCCTTGAGAGGCTGAGGGGGACGATAGTTGTCCACCATGCAGCATGGAGTCTCTCCTTCTCCACTAAAGAGAAGCTTGCGAAACTTGACCATCTACAATGGAAGAGGGGACCAGCAGAAAGAAGAGAAAAAAATAATTAAAGTCAGTGTTATGCAAACTGTCACACTATCAGTATCTGATAATGGAGTGCAACAGAACTACCAAATGACTGGTAAGGTGGGAAGTTGAAATGAATGAACCTCTGTCCTCGAATGTATCTTGAGGTGTTGTTGTTGTCATTCTTGTTTGCCTTGGCTGTTCTGTGTGCTGTCAGCAATATTATGGTAAGTTTAATGTTTGTAATGTCTACTCTTATCAAATAAAGGCAAAAATAAATATAATATAATCAGCTGCTTCCCTTGTTCCAGTTAATTAAGTGTTGGGACCTCAAACCCTGGGGTGGTTCTCTCTTATGTGCACATGGGGGTGTAAAGCATTGTCCTCCTGACATTGAACCAAGCTCCATATTGCACATAGTGGCATTAAGATGTATATGGAGAGTACGTTGGAACATTCGAAACAGCCCTTATTTCTCTCTGCGCAAGTACAAACCACTAACTGAGCTTTGACAACCCTGAGTGTGTGTGTGCGTGTGTGTGTGTGTGTGTGTGTGTGTGTGTGAGAGAGAGAGAGAGAGAGAGAGAGAGAGACAACGTAAGCAGAAACTTGGTATAAACAACAGCTCCTCTGGGAGCCATTTAGCCTTTAGCTATCTGGTGTGCTTGAATTTAATTTACTACAGCAGACTCACTCAGCACTGCCTGCACTTCTCTTGTCACAACAAAGTATGTGCATCACTGTACATTAGTGCATCAGTGTATTCATTTCTACATTGAAAAAAAAAAAGTATTTCTGTATATAAGCCGATCTTATAATTGCACAACCAGACTTCACAAAGGCAGGGGCTACGAGGCATCACAATTTTAGAGGACAATGGCCATTACTTACTCCATGTATGTTTTGTGTAACAAGGGTAGAGTGTGGTAGCATTAACTATGAGATATAAGGGCAAACCGTGCACTGAAGATACTGGCAGTCACTGTAATCTAAGTGAAACACAAGGCACTTAGGACTTAGACCCACCCTGTTCTAAAGCATGATATGGCTTCTATGGCTTGACTCTCAACCTAGACAATGTTTGGATTCTGGCTTTTTAATGGAGACTGATGAAACAACGAGCTCTCTGAACTCAAAATAAACATATCTTCAACTAGAATTATGACAAGTCAAAGTGTATTTTTAAACTGATATCTGAAACTGGATTTATTACCAGAAACATTTCAGTTGCACATGAAATGCAAATGTACTGCACCGATACATGAGTGGTAAAAGTGATGTGATTTTGTCCTTGAAAAATTATGATATTGATATCTGAAATGACAACTTTGGATAACTGAAATGTCTGGATTTTTTTTTTTTTTTTTTTGAGCAGACAGATTTAAAATATGGATATCTGTAATACAGGGCTGCTAGGTGGCTCGGTGGTTAGCAACATCAGCTCGCAGCAAGACAGTCGCCGGTTTGAGTGAGGACAGCTGGCATCTTTCTGCATGGAGCTTGCATGTTCTCCCTGTGCAGCGTGGGTTTTCTGTTGTTGTTTGTTGTTGTTTTATCTTGTTAGTTTTCACTGTAAATTTTAAGCCTACTGCTTTTGTTGATGTTATTGCTGCTTGATGAATCAGTTTTGTGTCCATATAAAATAATTTTTTTAAAGGCTAATTATTAGCTGTGCTGTTATATTTCTCTGTAATTCAGTACAGTGTTAACAATATTAGCCTCCTTATGAGTCTCTCTAAGTCCTGAACTCAATTCATTTTCCGATGACTCCATAAAATATATATTTAGATCATTAAATGAATACCTATAAATATGAAACAACTAGATGACCAATAGCTTAAATTGACGATTACTAGTTGACAAGGAAAGTCTTTACTTGGCAGCAGCCCTGGAGTAAGCCATTCTACTGCCTTGCTTTCACTTCAGCTCCAGTGTAATTTGACCAATTTTGTTTTATTGTGGGTGAAGGAAGCATGTGGGTAAAGCAAGTTACATACTTGTGCAGAGCTGACACTGATTGGCTCCTTGAGAACGATCCAGGTGACACTCTCTAAGAGGGGTGGAGTTGTCAAAGAGCCATCATAGGTCCAATAATCCAGGGAACCAGGAAGAAGAGACTTTGCATCAAAGTTAGCAAAGGTTGTCTGCTTTCCCTGCAGGGAGGGAGCAAAGAAAGGTGAAAAAATGGTGTTTCACAAGCTTATAAGCTGCTCTTTATTGACAATGTGGGTGCATTTACATTAAGTAAAACTGTGTTTTGCGAATTCTGAGAAAATTGCTTTTACCTTGTTCTTAATAGCATCCAAGGCATCCAGAACTTTCTGAAGCCGGGGGTTGGCTGCACCAATCTGGAACACAGAACAGATATATATATAATGTAAATTTATATGCAGTTTTTATTTACTTTTTTTTCCTCCTTGCTACTTCAGAGCATGAATACTTTAAGCACTTTCCCACCCCTTGTCTGTAGCGCTAATTAGCCAGTGATGAATCACTGATGACTCACTTTTAGAAAAACCCCGACCACAGCAAGTCCATCAGGCTTGTCAGCTGCCTCTCCAAAGCTGGGGTACTTTGTGTTCCAGTGCACCAGGTGAAGCTAACAAATAAATAAATAAATAAATAAATACATACATACATACATACATACACATACATAAACGTCTGACTGTTAAGACACAGCCTTGAGTCAGTGTGTGACCTATCCAAACATCGTCAAGGAGACAGCAGATTACAGAAAGCCACAGAGATGTTCACATAACAGAACCAGGTTTGTTTCAGCATAGACACATTTAACTAGTGCGTAGCAGTTTTCTTTTCAAGTTTGTGCTGTGTCAAAATCTGTGAATATGAAGAGAGGTTGTGTTAAATGTGTGAACATATAGGAATTCATCTGACAGATTTCCTAGTTATTTGCTCATTATGCCAAATTCAATCACAACAGAGTTGTCATAATTACTATAAACAGCATCTATACCAATATCCAAATTGTATCTATATCTCAGAAAGTCTTATATACCCACCTTAAAGCCTCAAAATCTTAGAAAAAGTACTTCAATCATTATTTTAATGTCTTTACTGATAGCTGCACCTTTGCCACAGACCTCTTTCAAGTTCCTTGTGATGCTTTCAAACTGTTGACCACATGAAAAATGAAAAGAAACAGTGTGAGCTTCTGTTGCTTCAGTACCTCACAGGGGAAATTGATGCCGTTGACAGTATGCTCAGAGCCTCTGTCGTCAGTGCCTCCCCAGTGGAAATGAAACTGCCTCAGACGGTAGGTTCCAGAAATAGGACCCCCAGTGAGGGCTGATGAGGACAAAACAACAGAATCACTGGAGACAGTTAGGAAAAGACAGATTTGCTTGTCTGTGATCCTCAGTTAGCGAGACCATTTTTGGATTTTGATTGTATATGTTTTTATTTCTATTAAATTTGCGTGCCTGTGTGACAAACTTGAGGTGTGAAGTTTGAAAAATAAAAGGTCTAATAAAAGACACTACATAGTTGCATTATGGGACATGAAGGATTCAGCTTGTCTCTTGCTTTAATTTGAACTATTCTGTTGATGACCAGTTACTTGTGGATCCCCCAGTTTTATGAAAGTGCAAATGGCTTAAGTATCCCTTCAATTAGATTTTTATTTTAAGGCAGTTTTAGATGCTATTCCGTTTTCTTTATGTGTCCTATGGTGGTGCTTATAATTGCTATAACTGGCAGGTCATGAGAGTGTATATTTAATTTTGTTTCAATATGTTCTTAAATAAAAAACACTTATACTATTCTATGTGCACATCTTGTAAGTGTTGCTTTTTATGATATGTACCTCTGAATGTAAGTTAAATAAACAGTGTCAGTGAGTGGGGTGAGATACTACAGACGTCTGTTGACCCCCAGATAATGACACATTCTTATCAGCTGCAGTACATAGAGCAGCAGTGGAGACACACGACTCATTTGAATATCTACAGTAAATGCACAAGATTTAAGATATCTTTAATACAAGTCCTGATGCACAACTGCATTATAAATTGTGTTGTATACTGTGACATTACAATTATGTCCTTGTGGTTGTATGACTACAAAAAACATTACAACAAAGACACCGGAGATTACATTTGACTAACTGCATAAATGTCTTCTCTGTGACTGTCTACTAATGTTAGGATTTGTGAATTGCTTACTAGAACTGTTTGTGTCATCCACAAAATCCACCTGGAAGGAATGTCCATTGTTGAGAATGCCCTTGGCATTGGAGGGATCATATTTGAGTTTCAGAGCCTTCAGAGAGAAGTCGTATTGAGCCTCCTTGGGGACAATGTTGATGGGAGACTGTCTGGGCCCATTCGCTATGGGGAAATTTTCTGCCCATTTGTCAGGTCCTGTAAATACAGAAATAAGAATGGGTTAACCATATTATTGCATGTTGTGTGTGTGTGTATATATAGTCGTGTAGAAGCGAGAAAGTAGTCATATCTTATAGCTACGAACAAAAGCTTTAAATGGAAGATGTTAAGTAAAACAAGGTACTCAAGTGAAGCAATACTTTATACTGCACATGTAAAGTATGTGCTTTAGTGTCATACAAAAGAATATTCTCAACTGATATCTGTTGTCCCTGCTTTATCAGAGGCTATTTTCAGTTTCTTTACAGGATAACTTAACTAAATACTTACTGTTCTTTGGAAAGATGCCATATAAATACAGTCTATCAATAGCTTCAGTTATCAGTCCATTAACCAACTGTAAAATGGATGCAATTTTTGAAATTTTGCTGAGCAGTAATACGAACTTAATTTTCTTGTTAATGTACTGATTTCTTGATGTGGATGTAGTCAGCCCAGACGCTTTTAGCTTAACCTCCAGCAAAAGTTTTAAAAGCTTGTTATTTGCTTCTCATGTAAAATCTTCAGAGAAGCGACTATAACCAACAGATCCTGACAAGCTATGGGCTTCAAGTGGTTAGAAAAGGTTCACTTACTCTAAAGTTGCACAGGGATGCACAGTGGTAATGTAATTAGTCAAGTATTGAGATTAATATTAGGGATGGCAGACTGGTAGCTGTAACATAGCCTACAGTCTGCACGACTACAAAGCTGATTTCAGTGAGGCAGTTCGTTTTGAGCATGTTCCACAGACATCTGAAAATCCAGCTGGCTTCATCACAACCGGCTGGATGCTGTCAGGTGCTCACCGTCAGTTGCTCCGTATCCCCATCCATGAGCCATGGCTGCTTCTACTGTACGCTACCCTGGAAACACAAAAGAACGGTTAATCCACGTCAGTCTGCAGGTCGACAAGAGGATGAAGAGGCAGATGACGACGCTCCGCTGTCAGACACCCGCTGAGACGCTTTATAGGTTCTCATATCGGTGGGTTTGGTTTGCCGGCTCTTTATCGGGCCTGTCAATCAGAACAACAGAGCAGGCATCCACACATGCGATGGTGGCGTCCTTCATTCCGAGAGCTCTGCACCTCCGCTGCCGTCCACACCTCCCTCCTTCCACGATAAATAGCAGCAGGCTGCTGAGGAGATGCGTTGCTGATTTGATCCGCAGTCTTTCCTCTCCTGTCAGAGATGGATGAGTCCCTGATGATCATCCACACACATCCATCCTGTCTATTCCAACACCACTGGCTGTTCTCATCTGTTGCAGGCTGTGCTTCGCACACTCCTGCGGATTTTATTGCAATATCCTAAAATCGACTTTTTTTTTTTTCAACCTCTTGCCAGCCTTAACTGATCCTTGTTATCCAGTTCCGTATGCTGCTGTATAAAGACTGTGTGCTGCAGGGGCTGTGCATGCCTGTAGCTGCCTGTAGCACACACACACACACACACACACACACACACACACACTTTCTAAAGTTTCTGTATTATAAGTCAGGCGAGTCAAACCACACAGATGCCTCCACAATCAGATACTCATAGATTATCCATATACAGTAGACAACTGTGACAATCAACAGAACTTACTCTTCAATAAAAAAAAATATATTTTTAAAAAGTAAATTATATGACATAAACTGTTGCCTCATCACTGAAATCAAGACCTTTTCTTTAATGCTTCGTTATTACTTGACTGTATCTATGGCAACATAGCAGGAAGTACAACTCACTTTATACTTGAAATTCTATTCTGTAGCCACTTTATATTTAGAAAAATGTAAATCTTTACACCCATGTTGTAAATACTACTTCACATTTTCTGTATGTTGTCTACCTATGCAGGCTCTTTGTTTTGTGTGCCTCTTTTGCACTGTTACCTTGCTTTGTGTGTACAAGCCGGATCAGGTACACAATACTATGAACCTCGTGTAACTATGTAACACATGCATTTGATTTGACTCATACTGGTTACAGCATGTTACAAATCTTCAAACATGTAACAACTTTCGGCCAAATAAATTTTACTCTGGAAAACATGTGCACTAGAAACAATGAAAAAGAGACCTAAACAAGTCAACAAGATCCGTATAATTTAATTTGTTTTACATGAAGACTATCAGGGGCTGCAGGGTGGCTCGGATTAGCACAGTTAGCATGGTTAGCACCGTCGCTTTACAGCGAGAAGATTTCCAGTTTGCGTCACGGTTAGGACGCCTGGGATCTTTCTGCATGGAGTTTGCATGTTGTCCCCATGCAGTGAGGGTTCTTACTGGGTTCTCCGGCTTCCTCCCACAGTCCAAAAACATGCTGAGGCTAATTGGTGATTCTAAATTGTCCGTAGGTGTGAATGTGAGTGTGCTTTTTTGTCTCTCTGTGTAGTCCTTTGATAGACTGGTGACCTGTCCAGGGTGTCTCCTGCCTTCACCCTAAGTCTGCTGGGATAGACTCCAGTCCCCCCGTGACCCTGGTGAGGATTGAGTGGTGTATAGATCATGGATGGATGAATGGATGGATTGTTCATTTCAAACTATAATAAGCATTTTTCCTCAAACTGATCTAGACTATAGTGCCATTATATCAAATGAGTGACTATCCTAACCAAATGTAGTTCGAGCTAAGAAATGAAACTGAGCTAAAACAGACCACAATGGGTTTAAATATATTCTTATTTTGAGTATTTAATACATTTTCTTGCCCTGAAGCTCTTCATTGTCTTGCGGCCTTGAGCTGGCTATACCTCGAGGCAGGCGCGAGTTAGTATGAGCCATTACAGGGACAGACTCGGAACTGGTCACTTGAGGATCTGTTCCTTTGTTCCATGTGTAAGTACCACCAATCTTAAACGGTGATATAATTGTTTTGTGACAGATAATATTATAATAATATTATTAGATTGGATTATTTCTAGACAATATTTTTGGTATATGTATGCATAACAACAACATTACCATATTGTAAGTAAACATCTCAAGTTCAATGTGCTCTAAAAATCTCACTGTTAAGGATGACTACAGTCAGTCAGAACACTAGTTATTTGCTGCCATCTTGTGGCTTTGTATGAGACAACTGTGAGACTCATTGCTTTTCATTTCTGTATATCTAAAACATACAGACTACAGATGTACAGGTATGGTAGGCCAATTCAGCTTTTTCAGTCACAGATGTACATCTTTGTACATACTTATCTTCAGCAAAATGACTAGGGCAAGTCTTGAGTTTTCAATTTTTTTTGAGTGACAAGGACGAATACCAAATGAGAGTGTTATGGTCCTCCATTGCCAATCTATTTTTTCCCTTCATGTTTCCCCTGTTTTCCCCTTTATCTTGTGTTTCTTGTTTGTATTATCTCTCTATGTGAGAATATCCCCTCATCGCATTTGTCACTTTGTGCATCTTCAATTCCTTCCTCAGCTCCTGTCCTTGTGTCTTAGTCCCTCTCATCTCACATCTTAGTGCAATGGGGGAAGGCAAGAGAGATGTTTAAGAGATGTCAATGAAATACCACACATTGTAAAGCTGCATCATCTGTCCATTGTTTTGGAAAAGTCTGCTGTTGTATTTGATGATCTCTGCCAGATCTAGATGCCAGTGCTTATGACAACTGAAAGCAGATATTTTGTCATGCCCCCCAGCCTCAGCCCCAGCCCTTGCCTGTCTCCCTCTTTGTCTCCCTGTCTTCTCCCTCCTCTTTCTCTGTCTCTGTCTGTCTCTCGCGCTCTGTCCTTCTCCCTCTCTGCACACAATCATGGACCCACAGCTGCAACTCCAGACTCACCTGCTCACGATCACCACAGCTCCTATAAAGACTCTGTTCATTCCACCACACCCTGCCAGACCATAGACATTCCTCCCTCATGTTTCTGCCAGTCCCTGCACTAGCTCTTGCCTGCCTTGATCCACAGTCTGTCTCCAGCCTGCATCCCCCCAGCCAGCTTTCTCCTGCCACCGGTTCCAGCCGGGATTCCCCAAGCCTGTCTGCTCCCTCCGTTTTTGTCCCCTTTTTGTGAGTATCCCTGTTTGTTTGAGTAGCTTTGTTTTTTTGATTTCAGATTTCGTTAGGTTTTTTTCCCCTCTGCTGTTTTTTTTTTTTAGGGTTTTTTTTTTTTTGGCTTTGCCCTCTTGTAGATTTGTCTGATGGAATTGATATTACTATAGTGAGTAGGATGCTCCCTTACAAGCTCAATGATATGGGTATAAGTACTCTTAAGAGTCATACTGTGTATTTCAATTGAAACGAGCAGAGCTGTCGATGTGTGACTTCAGACTTGAGCTCCCACCAGAATGCAAATTTAACAACTGTGGACTTTACCTAGATTGATCTATAAAGTTTTAAAATTCCTGGAACAATGGAAAAATCATGAGACAGAAAGACTGGGACAATATAAGGCAGGCTTTGCACATGAGGATACGTGACTTAAATGGATTTGTCCCAGAAAACTTAAAAAGAACTGGATGTATAGTGCCAGAAATCTCACACAAAATAGTATCTGTTATAATAGCCTCAAATTGTTCATTATGCCAGAAATATTTGTATCAACCTGTTATTTTCATCACAGAAAAGTAAAGTATGTTTACCAAATGTTATCAGAACACTGACTGCTCTTAAAAGATTAAATCAAGGCCACCTGACTTGTCACTTTTTGGTTCAGCTTACAGTAAAACCACAATGACAGATTTTAAAATAGTGTGGGGATGATCTGGGGTTGACTTAAATACAGCACCTTTGACCATTAGATTTCTACTGATCATGTTGGCGTGTGCAGATAATTATTAGCTGCAAATATTAATGATCCTGCTGTACCACATGCATAAAAGTGCAGAGCTCCTCTGACAGACACACTCTGATCCTGCTGCAGTGTGATGCTGCAGAAATGTATTAA